AATATGTGTCTCTTCTGTGTACAGTCTTTCGGGTGCACTGAAACACACAGAAATAGATGTAGAAGACATAAATTTAAGAAGACAACTTTGTTGTTTAGAAACACTGAATTGTTCCATGGAAATGCTGTCTTTTTTTCTCTCTTTTTCTTCTTTTTTTTCTGAATTTTCAATTTTAGACAGGGTACTTCAAAGTTTTTCAAAGAAGGTCAGAAACAGGCCTTATAAATACTGCTTGAAAGTACAGTCTAATATTTTCCTCATAGATAAAATAATTGTAACTTAAAAATGCCTATCCATTATTATTTTTCCAATTAAAAATAAGTATTTGAGATAAAGTAAACTATTTGGGATAATCAACATATGTTTTTCATTGCTTTTTTTGCATGTGTTTTTCAGTGTGGAGAATTGCTTTTTTTAAATTGTCTTCTATTGCACTTCACTTTCTGTAATGGCATGGAATATCTGTAAGGGTTGTACGATTTTGAGCTAGAGAAGCCCCACAAGAAAAATCTAAACAAACAAAAATAACCTGCATAAACAAGATCCTAAATGGAATAAACAGAATTTCAAAATAGTCTATTTATAATATTATCTCTATTTGAATATTGTGTTTTATTTATGACATTTCATGAGCCTATTAAATATTATATGCCATCACATTACAGAATTCAAACTATTTAAGTGTTTATAGCTAGTCCTTTCAAGCAAATTTAATCAATATGAAAATAAAGCTTTAAATATAGCCCATTGACTCCTCCTCACTACTAATGTTTACAGCAAGATGGTGTGGGGTTTTTTTTCCAAATATTAATGGCAATTAAGAAAAGGAGTAAGACAAAAATATCTTTCCACACAATTTAATTATTTTTATAGAAAATGCACATCTTTCTGGATTAGGTTAAGATCAGTGAAAGCACTCAAGAATGTCCAGAAATTTCAGTATTTTAACTGTTTGGAAAACTCTGAAGTAAAATGAGTATGAATTAGAACWTAATTATTGCAATATTGATAATTATTACATGATTATACTAGCTAAAGGAATCATAAAGTAATAAAATTCATTAGTTAAAGTTAGGAAATGACAGGATTTGTCTGAGCACTTTTACCCTTTTTTTTTTTGTTGCTGCGTTTCTGTTTCTAGTATGCTTATAGACATACACAGATTTTAATATCGTGGTCACATACTCCTTTTTCATCCAGATCCCCAAATCATTGGTGCCCAGAATATACAATGAGTGCCTAATCAATATTCCTTTTTATCTCTTTTATTCAGTATTAATTGCAAACACCACTGATCTTCTGGGATTCGAGAACAATAGCTTCATGCAAAGTTTGGAAGAAAGAGTATTAATTACAAAATCCTGTGCCTTTGCCCTTTTTTTTTTCTTTCCTGTTCCGTTCCCTGTTTTCCTCCAGTTCCTGCCTGGGGCCCATCTCACCTCCACTCACATTCTTCCCTCCAGACTACTTTGTCCAGTGAGCAGCAAGTCTTCACACATCAAAGAAAACACAGCTAACAGCGGCTCCTTCCAAGCAGCTCCTTGATCCAGTCCACATCAGGACACATTTAGGGACATGAGTTAGCAGGCATGGTGGTGATGGGTTTATAGTTGGACTTGACTATCTTGAAGATCTTTTCCAACCATAATGATTCTGTGACTGATTCTATGATGCAGTGGTCACATCAGGAAAAGCTGGACACATGCAGCTGAGGGTGGTCCCCGAACAGGACATGGACAACCCCAAGAGAGACAGGAGCAGGCTGTTGACCAGCGACACTGAATGACACAGGTGTTTGCCTGTGGAACCCTGCCATTCACCAATGCTTAAAGGGAGCAAAAAATATTCTTATACTGGAGACTGTAGGGTTCATCCACACTAGAGCTTTATAAAGCTTGCTATAATCTTCCCTTGTCCTTCCCTCTTATTACTGTCAAGAACTGGCAGTATGACACAATCACAGAATCACAGACAATGGATGTAACAATTTAATATAACTTGTCAAAAAATTAATATACTTGCCTGTTTTTTATGTGTTATAAAGTTYTCGTGCGCTTCACTGTGATGAAGAGTTTCTTTGCTATATGAAGCTCAGAGAGATAGGTCTGTGGCTACACAGGCTGAGCCCAAGGAGAGACACAGAACAGACTTTCAAGGCCCTTTACAAAGCAATAGGCATTTTTTACCCATTACCCAATGCATATCAATTATGTAACCTAATCTTTGGATTGTCTTGGACTTGTCAATAGCTTATAGTGTTCTTGTTTTGTACGATGCTGTTCTCTTAAGTCTCCATTGTGTTACAGATGAATGTGCACACACACAAGTCTGCTAAAAATCTCCTTTGATTCATAAAAAAAAATCAGGTCTGCTGCTGTACTGAGTACAGATGATGCATAAATGGGTATATACAGAACTCAGGAGCACAGAAGTGAGCTGACAGACATGTCAATGCATACAGAGTTGGCATGTATGTCAATAAGTATATGTGAACATAAATAAATATGTGAATAGTTGTACAACCCATGTATCTCCAGTAGATTACGCAGAATAGCACAGAATAACTCCCTGTATGGAGATGAGAAACAGTGCTTTGTTTATTAGTCACCCAGTGGAGATACAAATTAAAGGAGATGAAACTGAAATAGGAAGAACATAGGGAAAGAGAAATTGCAACTTGAGACACTGTGCCACTTCCCTTCTCCTCCTTGGAGCTAGGGTAAAGAGAACAAGTTGTCCATTACTGGAAAGAGTCTCATACTGGGAAATCACATRGGGTGGACATTGGTGGTCTTCCCACACCACACAGATCAGGGTTATGTGTTAATATATATTAAATTTGAATAGAGATATCCCTGCAACATATTAGACAAAATCTATTAAGTATATTTAAAGATATAAACATACATATAACAATATATTGGCTTACAAATATATGTACCATTAAAAAGTATGCACAGTTGACTCTTAGAAAAATTGCATATGCTTATTTCCATATATTGTTTCTTTAGAGCTCCAATAAATACTTATTACAATGAAATTCAATTTTAAAACTGCAGAGATTGCTTAGTGCCTAAGCAAGACATTATTTGCTGGCTCATAATCATCTTCTCTGTATCTGTTAGAAGCACTGATGCATTAATTACTTGTCAAAATTTGAAACAGTTCATGAGTCACTCTGAAGATAAAATAAAGAAATATTAATGAGCCAATTTCAACAGGATTCAGGTCTTCCTCTAAAAGCTGGAAGACTATTGCATGTCAGAATTAACTCTTGATATTAAGTATCTTGGCAAATTTGAAATACACTCAAGATACAGTCAGCAGATCAGAACCAACCAACTAGATCACTGTGTTTTAAAGGATCAATGCATCATTGTCTTATCTGACAGAATGACAGATCAAAGAGAAAAAGATTGATCGGCTCTAAAACAGAGATTATGTGAAAGATGTCAGGGTTAATGAACAGCCTGAATACATAGACCTGACCCAGATTCATTTGGAATTAAACTTTCTTGTTAACTTTTACAGTTTGAAAATGACTCTATATGAGAAGATCTTAACCCAAAAGCGAGATTGCAAGCATTTGATCTTAAAACAAACAAACTGGTTTCAAACATCACAGGTAACCCCCTCCTCACACGTCCCCCCCTCCAAAAAAAACCTTTCTTTATATGTTTATTTAGCTTAGAAATCTAACCTCAAATCACATTTTCATGATTTCTTTTATATCCATGAATAACAGCATAAGCATATTCAGTGGCATTGTGTGCAAAGTTAGAAAAAAAACGTGCTTTTTTTACTAYACAATCTAAAAAACTGGTGATGTGAGAGGAAGAGAACAAGGCAAAGACCCACACATTGTAGATTAAATATAACATATGGAGAATTCAAATCTAGCTACTTATACAACCTGCATAAATTTGCAGATACACTAGCATTCTTTCTAATTTGTTGTTAAACATAGTGTATAATTTCCGGACCATATCTAAAAATTCTTCACTTCATGCATTCACAGCTAAGATAGTTCTCACAAGACTTGTGTGTCTTTTTTCCCTGAAGTATGCATAAGAAAAGATCTGCTTMACTTTGCACATTTACAACATTTTCTCTGAGACCTACAGCATTATTCAAATAATGTACCTAAAGTTGCAGATCCTGTAAAGTGGCCCACTGGTATCAAAATGGAGACTTGCCTATGACTTGTTAGCTTCAGGTAAATAYAAGGTAAGAAGTAATTACACAACTCTACTATGAGGAGTTCATGAAAATCATACTTGTGTGCTCCCAAAAGTTATACCCAATATGTTATGTAAGAAGTTTCCAATCATTAAGCTGATATTAATCTTGAATTTGCATATTAGACTTAGCACTTGCTTTTACCTATAYCTCTGCCTATTATTTTAAATAATATTTGTGGAACTATTTTGTCATCAGATAATTTACATTCCTCTTGTTAATGTTTTAAATTTCCAAATTTACTGACACATATCTGTGTTCAATCTTATTCAATAAAATGTAAAGTAGCAGTTCTAAAATTAAACTTAAAGCTTTTTAGCACATTTGTTAAAAATGCAGAATTTAAAAGAAGGTAGAATGAACAGAAGTTTCCACTGACTTTTTCAATAAAATCAAAATTTTGATAAAGTTCCATGTGACATGAGAAACATTTTTCAATGTTACTTCAAATGTTTTGATGATTCACATAAAAAAATTACACATAAAAAATAGCTTTTCATTTTGAAAAAGCCGTTTTTGCAAATGCTACCAAAATGTTGACTGCTCACTTGTTGTTAAACTTGTGAATAGAATATGAAAAATTAGCAATTTATGTGCATGATTAAAATATAAACTCACTGTACTGGAGAAATACATTGCCAAATGCAGCTGAACACAAATGTGTTCATCAGCATAGAAATGGTCAACTAGTTTTTGTTATCACGGTTACTTTTCTAGTTTTACATATTTGTACCAAGCACTGAATTAAGATAGCTTCTTACCTGTTCAGATAATTCTGGGCCATTGATATGGGCTTGTATGAGAGCATCGTTAACAAGTGAATGAAAATTCAGAAGCACGTGCTCGAGATCGTATGTCCCATGCATGGCGCTGGAGAGCTCTTCCAGGGACTGAACATACCCCCGCCAGTGAAGATCCACTTCTGCCAGGTTGGCCAGGCAACCCCGAACCACGTTGAGGCAGTAGCCCATGCACGGCTTACTCAACRTCAGCCCTTGGCAATGGGGGCAGTACTGCATCCGCAGCAACGCTCTGCTGCAGTCCTTGGAGAAATGCAGGTGATCCGTCGTATTGATTACTTCGATGCCCAGATTAAGAGCCTGCAAGAAAGTCCGGCTGAGCAACAGGGATCTTCCCATTTGCCTTGCAACTACTTTGGGAACGCTGCCAAAGGGCCTGATATCCCTCGTYGCCATTCGCAGGCATTCGGCATACTCCAGGGAAACATCCGTCAGACCGGGCTTAATCATGTGACTGTAGGCTATTGGGAAGAGGGTGTCAAAAAATCTGTTCACAAATTCCTCTGTGCTAACATCTGTGCCAAATATGAAGAGCCCAACATCAGTGAAAAACTCCTGAATGTGTGTAGCAGCCTCACCAGCCATGTTCCTATATGCATTGCAGAAGAGTGTGCTTGTGTAATTCTCAGCTAGTTTGATCAGCGTTTCAAAGGTTTCTGTAATAAAAAAAAAAGTGCATTAACTTCATTAATTTAAGGTTATATAGGTATAGTTACCACTATAAAGGTAAGAATATGAACTTATTATATTATAATAATCACCATCATCATAATTACATTTATCTTGAATGTGTTTTTGCAAAGACTATTACTTAGTTCTTATGAAGCGTTAACCTAGCCACAAACCACAACAACTTTCYTATGCAGGCAATAACACCTTACAAGTTACCTTACAAAATAATTAATAATCCCTGTATTTTCTTGGTAATATAAAAATAAATGGATAGTACAGTATTAAGCAACAGAATACAAGAAATCCCAACTGTTCTTATTTGTTGCTGTACTTGTATATACAAATACACATTAGCTCTCATCTCATACCACTTTTTAATATGAGCTGCAAAATGTTCTTGTTCTTAGTCATTCTACTTCAAGTCATTCCTCTTCTCTCTTACCATTTTAAACAGATGGGTAAAAACGATATTAAACAAATGAAATAACTCTTATGTTTCATTAAAAATGAGCAGMGCAGTTCAAAAACAGTTTATCTTCTTGTCTTCCATAGGAAGGGAATACATTATGCACTGGTGGGAATTGTTTTAAATGATGTTGGTTAGGCTGGCAATTGCTATGGTCAAAGTTACAGAACTTGCCGAACTGGTCTCATCAGGCACTATGCATGGAAACACCCTCTCCAAGACTCAGCTTCTGAAATACCTGTAAAGACTGAAGGGATATAGAATCATAGAATCATAGAATGCCGAAGGTTGGAAGGGACCTCAGAGGTCATCGAGTCCAACCC